TATGTGTAAGATGAAAGTAACTATGCACTCACTTGTTAAAGTGATGATTCCAAACTCGGGCAGTGCTTCGCTTCTAACGATTCTATTTTCCTTCGACGAAACCTAGCATTATTATCGCTAAGTTTTAGTCTAATCTTTATTGCGACTAATTATTAGTCTAGATTCATCATTAACTCAAAGTCTACTTCATAATCTATCAAGTAAGGAACAACCAGGTAGGATCATATCGGAGGTAGGGTACGTTTGGTATACGAAGTATACTGTTTAGAAATCCCAGTTTAAACGCCTCACTAAATCACAACCTAGACATCATCCTCGTAAGTAGATCAATCAGTATCACGACTTTGAATCACTGATAAATTTTATTTATAGGTTCATAATAACGATATTATAAGCTATATTAAAAGTAGGGTAGCATAACTTACTTAGTTAGGAGCCGGGTTCTGCAGGGGCAGAACTTCGTTGCTGAATCTTTCTAAGAAAGATTCTTGCAGCGCTTCAGCGCTCACCTTACTATACTAAAAACTACTGAAATAGAAGTCAAATCATGAGGGACCGAAATGCTCGAGGGATAAGAAGAGAAAGACTCTTCAATCAAGAGAACGGTGCAAGAAATATGAGAGCCTAGAGGCTATTAGTTATAGTAATTGAATTTTCAAAAACCACCCTCTATATTTACTTAAATGACTAAACACCCCTTTATAATACTATTTTAAATAGATTTAATGATATTTGTACGAAACTAATGTCGAAAGTACTCAACACTAGTCTTATAGCGACCGCATCGTCGATACCTTTCTAATGATATATATATATATATATAATATATATATATATATATATATATATATATATATATATATATATATATGATTTACACTTTATTTTAATACGTAAATGTGCTATTAAAAATTATAACTTGTTCATACGAAATCCAATTTTGACGTTCTTTATATCCACGTGTATCTATCGACGAAATCTACAACTTTCGTTTAGACTCCTTCGGCTAATTTTGAATTTATATTTTTGTCCATATTTTTATAAAATTAAATAATTTTGTTAAAATCATAACTCTCTCGTATGGACTCCGTTTTTGACATTCTTTTTCTCAAATTCCTATTTTAAGGTGTACTACGATTTTCTTATTGATCGCATTGGCTAAAAGTCAACCATTCTCTTCGTAGCTTTTTACGTCATATATTCGTTGTGCGCGACTGGCTTTTATATCTTATAAAAATCATATCTAATTCATACGGATTCAGATTTCGACGAAATTTATATTTTCGGGATCGGGACGACGTGTACTCCCTAAATATATATATATATATATAATATATATATATATATATATATATATATATATATATATATATATATATATATATATATATGTGTGTGTGTGTGTGTGTGTGTGTGTGTGTGTTTTGGCGCACTTATTTTTACGATCTACGGTCGATTCGACTGATTTTTCCTATTTTATTATATTATAATAATCATGAAACATATAATATTCAAATAATTCTTCTTTATTACGTCAAATATGTTACAATTGTTTACCCTAAGTATTACTTTGGTTAAGATTATTTATCCTAGATAATCTTCTATAAAAAATCATTTTTAACGCTTATTATATCTTAATTGACTAGCCCGAATATGAGGGTGTTACAATTATCTCCCCTTTAAGATGATTACGTCCCGGAATTATCAAAAAAACAGGGCTTGTATAATGACTCCATTCATTTCCTTTCCATCCTACGTGGTAATCCTAACTCTTATGTCGTTTCAAATGAGTATCTAACTCTAGGACTCCTTGACTGCTGGCGGTGCGTAATCTTGCACCCACTCTTTATCCTATGTTGGACTTTCAATCTTAACCTTTGAGTTACAAACTCAGTCCTTATTGGAGACTCCGGCTCTTTCTTAAACAGACTTAAATTAAGATAAGTTCTTTACTTCGATTACCGTAACAAACCGATGTGACATGTTCTAATGAGATCTCGTCGCATGATGCAACGCTTAGACTCAGGTCTTTTAGAGTCAAATTCCAGAACGGAATATACCTTCCTTCATGTTCTAACGTGATATAATAATATTCTGGCATGTAGCACTTCTAGCTACAAGCTTCTTACCTTAACAACGGTTGCGATACTTCTTTTGATCGCTTCGATTATCTTTCACTTCAATCTTCTGACTTAAGTCAGATGCTACATCGATCTTGGTACTTTGAACCATGTAACATATTCATCTTAGTCGGACTCGATTTGATATGACCACTAGGGACGGATTAACAATCATCTTCTTAGTTATTACTGAAACAATTGTAACGAAAGACATGAACAAAACAGAATCAATTACTAGTGCCTTGGTAAGCTTGTGACTTTCCCTGATCCAAGCGTGAGTCATGTGCTTCCTATAGTATAGGCCTCTACTACCATTCACACCTTCTCATACTCGTCCCAAGTATTGTCTCGAAGTTTTCTAATTTACCATACAAGAAAATCACATAACAACTTAACACACCAGATAACAAAACGAAGGTTTTATATTATTCCTTGAAACGATAACATAGGTGTTTAAGTTCACCCTAGACTATGCCTTTAATAGACTACACCATATGATACTATCCACATGGCTACTGCATAACTCGATCTTCGGATATCAAGTCCTCACTCCTGATTCCTTGCATTGTTAGGTGCCTCATCAAGGATCATATGGAATGCTCGTACTTTCGGCTTTGGCGGCACATTTGGCTTTGTAGCCACTTCTCTCTTTGGGCAGTCTTTCTGCTCTTACTTTCGGCTTTGGCGGCACATTTGGCTTTGTAGCCACTTCTCTCTTTGGGCAGTCTTTCTTGAAGTGCCCTTCCTCATTACATTCGTAACACACCCTTTAGTTGAATGTACACTCATTGGCGTAATGCCCATGCTTTCCACACTTGAAACAAGTCACCTCCTCACCGCATTTTCCAGAGTGTTTCTTTTTGCACTTCTCGCACCATCTTGCTGTTGGATTAGTGTCTAAGTCCATAACTATATTTGGTATGGACTTGACTCGATTGGCATGGTCCATTTGGGTTGCATGGCATCATGCATTTGGATAGACTAAAATGAGAGAAATAACACTTAAGGTTTACTAATATATTGTAAGTTCTAATATATTAATAAGATTATTTAATTAGTATTGATCAATAATTAATTTGGAATTAATTAAGTGATCAAAAGGAGACTAATTAAATATATGGGTTGATTGTGTAAATCATCCATACTTGTATAGTGGGCTAATTCTCCATGGATTATCAAGTTGGGCTAAAACCCATAGGATGCTCCATGGATACTCCATGGTGTTTTTGTACCCATGGATCATGGAAATGAAAGGCCATGACAATTAGGGTTTACATGGTGTAACCCTAATTGCGACAAACTATATAAGCATCTTATTCTTGTCAAAATCGGCCACCATGAGAGAACTTTGTGTGTATGGTGAGGGCTAGCCGATTTCATGAAGTGGTTCATTTCTCTCTAAGTTATTCCAAGTGTATTTGATGTTGTGTGAACCATTTGAGGTGTCACACTTGGGGCACTCGGTTCTTAAGCATCAAGGAATCAAGCTACATAAAAAGGTATGTCTTCAAACTTGTTTTTATTACCCAAGTATCAAAGATTGTATGCTAGATAGGGTAATACCTTGGAATATTCATATTTGCATGTATAATAGAGAAAACATAAATCCAAGGTATTTAGGGTTGCATGTACACTTAGGAGTGTTAGAATGCTCATAACCCAACAGTGGTATCAGATCCTAGGCTTTTTTTCAATTATACTTGATGCAAAGTGCTGAAAAATGCTGAAAAAATTGATTTTCGGGCTGTCTGGGCACTGGACTCGCCGAGTCCATGAGGAAACTCATCCTACTCGTCGAGTAGGTTCATACACTCGACGAGTAGGACCCCCTGACAACATATTTTCGACTTTTAAGGCTGAAATTGGACTAGAATCATTACCCTAAGCTGTTTTTGAACCTATAAACCTGTTTTTGATGTGGTAATGTTCATTCTAATCCAATTTCAAAGATAATTATCAATAGACTCATGTTTTGTATTAGTTTAATGGTTAGGCTAATTTCATGAAAAAGTTTGATTTGAATTATCTTGTTCTTATGAGTTGCTTAAATTAATAGGAAAGTTATGTGAAATTGTTGTTTTCAATCCATTTTAATCTAAGAGTTGATTTTAAAATGTGTTTTTGTAACTTGTCCTCAAGTTACATGAAAAGTCACATTTAAGAATCATAAAACTCATAAATATTTCATAAGTTATGAATAAAGGAAAAGTTACATTCTTTTAATAGTTTAAAGTCTTCCATAACTTGTCCTCAAGTTATGGAACTTGAAGAGGTTTTTGTATTAAAAACTACTTTAAACACATAAGTTATGGAATTGAATAGTTTTGAATAGTTTCAAAAACTTTCCCTCAAGTTTTGGAATTTGAAAAAGTTTTCCCTTATGAATACTATAATTCCAAGTTAAGCCCTTAGAATTTTAAAAGTTAGAATTCAACCCTTATACTTTATAGTATGATAAATTAATAATATATTTTTACTATATTATTAAACATATTGCATGTTTCTTGAAAATTAAGAGCTACAATACCTATTACCTCATGTACAATAATATTAAGCTTATAATCCCATCGTATAGGTATACACGGTATTACCTTATGGAAGATGTTACCCTAATCTTCTCTACACACAATACTACACACAACAGCCGCAATCCGAAGGAAATTTGAAACCGTCTTCTTTCCGTCTCCTTCCTAATCGCTTCAGAATCGATCGATACTCACCAAATCAAACCAAATCTCCTCTACATACAACAGCCACCATAAAACGAAAGCTCATTCGTCTCTCTCTTTATCTCTTCGCTGATCGGCGAAGGATACGATATCCGATTACTTCGATGGGGTGATGAGGATTTTTACTACGGTTGAGTTGCCTAAAAAAGGGATGACGAGTGTGAATCAGGTATGGCGGGTAGGGCCGTCGGTCTCGGCTGATGGGTTTCCAGTGAAACATGCTTTTCAGCTGGCGAATTTGGGGGCGAAAGGGAGGTTCGATTTGTTAAGTGGACAAAGTTTCAGCGGACCTAGCGGTGCAATTAGAGGTGGTGATTCCAGAACGAAAAAGAGAAATGTAAGTAATCAAATTCTGATTTCATTCAAATTATCTTTTTTCATGGAAACCCACGTATAGTTTCATGATTCAACATCAAAATCGATTGAAAATCGAAATGTAATTTGTTCATGTTTAAGATTCATGGGATATTGAATGCACAGTGAGCTGGGGAACCTTGTTTCCCTGTAGGAGTAATCATCGCTAAATACCTTCGAACTTTCACCTCTGCAGATCCGACATGGTTTTACCTTTATTGCATTCTGCCAAGTTTCTGCTTATGCAATCGACATCGTCGGCTGGGCCACGGGACTTAAACTTGGATCCGAGTCAAAGGGTGTCACCTAAAACATTCACGCAGTATCGGAATTGCTCTATTTTCTCTTGCAACAGTCCAGGTAATTTGAACCACTTCTTATGCTTGCATGTGTCAATTTTTGCAGCCAAGATATCGCTGTATAGCCTCTTTCTAACTATGTGTGTTCATGTGCATGTTTTTCAGATGATCTTCGTCCCCTACATGTTTTATCTTTGTCCCCACGCAGAAATTGATCTTCACCGGCTGAACTTGAAATCGGCCATAAAAAGAATCTCATTTGTATTCCGATGGAGGTATGTCATACCTTCTTTCATGTAGTAGTTAGGGATTTCTTTTAAATATCTTAAAAACTGAATTTTATTAACCATCTAAACCCTCAAAATTTTCTTTTGTAAATGTAGGAGTAAGGAAAAGCTGTCATTAAATTAGTGGAAAGGGTAGTCATCACCAAGTTTAAGCAAAGCATTTACAAGATACATGTAAATTTGGACTAAATTGATGAAGGTACATCATATATACTACCCATTACTTGCAACTCTTTTGGTCTGTGTTCTTTTCCTAAACTAAAGAAAGCATACATATGTTGATGTGTTCAACAGATGTTTCTGATAAAATAAACTAATTGGTTTACTTTGTATTGGTGTTAATATTTATTTAAAATAAATATATATTATCTATGAGCTTTGAAATAATGATACAATAAATTTTATAATAGATGCATAGGAATGTCTTTACGATGATTAGATCATAATTTTTTAGTATTTATTCAAATTTTGGCATAACCGATGCAGGTAGTTAGTGTTGCTAATATAAAGCGTAGTTTTTAGATTTACAGAAGATGGTAAAACGTGACATGAGTACAAATAGAAGAAGCACATACACCATATTAAAAAAATCGGTCATCAACATTAAAGACATTGACATTGAAATGGTTAGTCAACCGTTAGACTTTGTTCCCTTTGGTGGCCGGACTACGCCAACCTATTGATACCCTCATCATTTTTTTCCAAGCTTTGCTTTGTCATGAACAATATCTTCAGGAACGGATGGAGGAGGTGGAAAAGCATCACCATTACCATTACCATTACCATTAGGGGTGAGCATTGAAATCGGGTATTCGGTTCTGGAACCGGAACCGTTTCTATACATTGGTTCCGGATCCGATTCTGATTCCTAATGTTTCGAAAAAGACTATAACCGGATTCGATTCTCATTTTCTTGGGACTGTTACCCGCCAGGTACATGCCTAGATCGTTTTCTACAAAAATCATTTCCAATTGTTCTAGACTGCCCTACATATACATTAACTAAATTTGTAAATATACATGTGCTTACATATATTTCCGTCACTTCTGTAACCTATATAGCAATTCCCAAATTTGTGATTGTGAGAAGAAAAATACCAGATTATCTTTTTATTTGGTTTGTATGCAAAAGTAAATTGTTTAATTTTGATATTTAAAAAAAATGATAAACGTTTTAGGATTAGTATATGTTCCCATCATACAGGTCTAACACCTCCTATGTCAATATATTATTTTCAACATTAGAGTGAATAATTTGTTAATCTAGCTATAATTATTATAACCTCTTTAGTAAAATTTTGAACGACTAATCAAAATAGTATATTATGCTTATTTTTTTTACTTTTAGTTGTAAGGGTTATCTCAAAGTTTGTAACGGTTAACCTTTTTCACCCACGCAAAACTTTTTTCTAAATTTTTGTTTTGACAGGGTGGAGTACATTTGTGCCAAATTATAACCCAAGGGACATTATTGCTAACTTGAATTAATGGTATGGTGATTAGGACTCAGGGAAGCTTCAAACCCCTAGAAAATCAAGTCTAATGGAGATAATACTTTGGTCAAAGAAGATGGGCTTCAAGTAAAGAGGGTGGTAATAAGAACATGGGGATCAATTTGGAAATAGTTTTAGTAACATGATATTTTTAGTATATATGCGATTAAATTAACTTGTTTCATTTTTATTCATTTTAATTTGGGAAATTGTTTTTGAAGGGCTTCAAGTGATGATGTTTCCGTGGCGGTGATGACATCTTCAAGTGATGATGTTTCCATTGTCTCAAATAATACATGTATATAATATGTATATATGTGTGTATGTATTTATCTGTGACATTGTATATATGTGTGGTTTGTATATGTATATATATGTTGGGACATTGTGTGCTTCTGTTTTTTAGTTTGAGTGAATGTGTCTTTCTGTTTTTATGATTGTAATAGTAGAGACTTCAATATTTTTTTTTGTATGTGCATTTTCATATTTGCCAATTAATTTCAGTATATACTTCAAGATAATATACCCTTTTTTGTTTTTACTATTATAACCTTTTTTATATAGGGAAAATTTCATTCATATCCTTCTAAACTATAAGTATTACTTTAATATCCTTATAAATTTAGAAATTAGGTATATATCCATCTAAACCAATAAAAATTACGTTTATATCCAAAATCATATTTTAATTAGATTTATATTAATTTAATATTAAAAAAATTATATAAAATTCATAACTACATATAACTTTACCAAAATACCCTTTGCACAATAAATCCAAAACCTGATCAATTTTGACAATTTTAATCAATCATATCTGACTTTCATTTTGTAGAATCATGAACGATCACATTTACATTGATGCATTTTCATTGCTACTAAACTTCCATTTGTGGTATATTTTGACACCCGTTCGTGTAAAATCAAGTATGAACTATTAGATGAAATTCGAAATATAGACTCAACTTTTGTCGTATTATATGACTATGCACCTAGCAAGAAAACTATCTGTTGAAATGAACTATTCAACACAAAATAGTCTGCCAAAAGGCCGCAATGAATAGCCCACGTCTAAAGGAAACTAATCATCACATTAAAACAATCTTCCGAAAGAAACTCTTTGCCGCCTGACGCTTAGCGTGGGTAAACGGCTAGTGTATATATATATATATATATATATATATATATATATATATATATATAATATATATATATATATATATATATAAGAGCAAGTCAGTCTTACCGTTAGTAGGCCTCATTCACGAAGTCGGTCTATAAGGGGGGTATAAGGTTGTTTCCTATAAATGGCAGCTTAATGGTTGTCCACTCTCACCCACCGCTTCCTTGACTGGTGGAGGGTCGTTAGCCGAACGGGTAGGACAAGGACTATAATTCTCCCTTCATTAAAAGTATTAATGATAAATACTAAGTAACTAAACTTTTATAAATTCCCAATCTTAGTTACTTAGGAAAATGTGAATTTGGTGCTAACCCATGAAATTACACTTTGCACTTTGCTTAAGTCGGTTAGTGGAGCGTGTGTGGTTAACCGGCACACTAACCTAGATTTAACAAGGTAGGCAAAGGGTAACTTAATGTTTATCATAGGATCGGTGGAGCGCGTGTGGTTAACCGGCACATCGATTAAGTGATAAATATTAAGGGTACCAAGTATATTTGCATGGTTATTCACACCTTGTTTTGTGATCCTCGGCATTCCAGTCACAAAATCTGAGAGGGCACAATCGAGATTGAAACATGCCATTGAAAAGTTCAATGAATCTCAAAAGATCTAGGAGTTTCAAATCCAAATAAAACCTAATATTTCTATTTCGTTTTTCATGGTGGAAATTGGCGAATCGTCATTCGCCTACCTTCAAATATTTTATAGCTTGGATTACGGCATCCCTCTTCCAAGTTATAAAATATTGTGTTGGGTCCTAGCCTTAATATTTCATATTGGGTGTTATATTAAGGACTTTAAATCAACTATCTTGAATATCTCCCAAAAGATGTCTAGTTCAGACATCTATGATCTTCCAAAATCTCTTGGAACTTCACTTCCTCCACCTCCTCCAATTATTCTCCCTAACCCATAAGTTCAAGGTCACTCAAGCCCTATTGGCAAGCAAGGTCTATGTGTGATCGCATCTTGGAGATGAAGTCACATATTGACAAGCCGGGATAGTTGGGTGTCAAAGTCTTAAGAAAGTTGGATGTTCAATCACTTTCTAAGTCACATAGTGAGTTCCTTTGGGACTACTATGAAACAGACTATGACATGACCCTTAAATGATCTTATCTATTTGCTTGGTGCTGCTGAATCAGCAATGATTTGGAGGACTAGTAAAGCAAGTTTGATAAAGAATATCAACTTCTCAATGGACATTGACAAAGGTAACATTGGATATCTAGAAAAGGCTTTGTCTTCCCAATGGTAAGGGATCAGCCATAGTCAACTCGGTTGACCAAATGGTAAAGAGAAAGACTAAGTCTGTGATAGTCCCGTGTACCATATCCATAGAGTCCATATGTTTATATTGCCAAAGGAAGGGGCATTGGTTACAAAACTGCCTATTTACCTGAAGGATCATAGGGTTGATCAAGTCAAGATGTTTGATTCTACTTCAGGTAAAGTCCACTATCTAACTCTGTTAAGTTTCTGTTCTGATATTCTTATTACATGATGTGATTGGGTCACATGTTGATGTTTTAAGAATCAAAGAAAAGTTAAGAAAATTAAAGGAAGTATATACTGATTCTGATCGCGAAGATGGATCTCGATCACATGATTCGGTGATCAGAATTTTGAGCTGTTGCTTAGGAGTTATGATATATATTGCTTAGGAATATATAACAACAAGTTTTTCATATGCTTTTGCACTGTAAGGATAAGTTTTTCCGCAAAGTTTTAAAATTAAAGGAAATTTTTTGATTTTATTTATTCTAAGTATCCTTACAATGGCATTTGTGGAAAAAAAAAGTGTTGCTTATATGATTCCATTGATAGCAATAATGGAAAATGGATTTGTTTCTTTCATTTGTGGTAATGTCTAATTTACCAAATAAGGAAAGATTCTCATCACCCACGGTTTCAGTTGGATAGAAACTTGGAAATCATGCAAGTTGTATAGTATGTTGAATGAGAATTTTCATCTTTGGAAAATTAAGATTAATTCCTTGTTCACATGTATATGTGAGTCAAGTGAAGGACTAAGGGATCGAGTA